ATTCTTTCAGAGTCTCTGCATTAATTAGAGGAGAAAATGCCTAGCTTGTATTGGGAACTGAATAAATGTCCCTTCCCAGTACAACACAACCGTAAAAACGAAAATAAATAAGTACCCACTGTTCACCTGTGAAGCGATCGAGAAGAAATATAAACACAGAAAACGAGACCTTGAGTTCTCCACAGAACATTAGCAGCTCCTCAAGAAAGAAAAGACTTCCTTGCAAAAGAGGAGACATAGGGCCTAGAGGCTGAGAGAACCGGCTGTGGCCGGTACCCGGCTGCAGGGCAGAAAGCGCCGCAGGATCCTAACTTCTGCAGAGGAGCAGCGAGCTCTACAAACAGAAGCAAGGCTGAACTCCTAAACTCGCCGGATTCCTGGTTCTTGATGCATTTGGATAGAAGATGAGCGGAAATAGGAGGGAAAAAAAACCCAAAAAACAAAAACAAAAAAACCCGCCAGCGGCCTCGGATGCGCCAGAACCTGCTGCTTAGGCTAAAGGCCACCCCGGGTCCCCCCCTTTCCCCCCCCGCCCCGGGGCCCCCTGCCTCTCTTTACTTTTCCCGGGGCGAAAGAAAACAGCAAATCCAATCTCGTTTCCCCACCCTCTCTCCTCCCCTTCTCTCTACTACTGTAGTAAAACAGTTAACAGATCAAAAGCACAATCATGTCCAAATGTGATCAGAGCGCACAAAGCGAAATATCTACCTCGGAGTCGAGAGCTTTCTTCTGTAATATGTCTGTTGCCTGGCTTCTCTTTTGCGTGTAGCCAGCTGCAGAGATTATCCGATTTGGGACTACAGGCTTGGACCCGCGCTGCCAAATTAAGAAGTGGAATCCGGGGTGGGGTGGGGGGTGGGGGAGAAAGGGGGGAATAAATAAATAAAGTCCATGATAAGTAAGGGAATTTTGCAAGCCGGTCTTCGCTTTTCCCTCGCCCCAAACAGGAAAACGTAGAGGAGAAAGTTTATGAAGTCAGGAAACAAAGACAGAAAACCACTTGTTTCCTCACACAATGGCAGGGCTAGAGTCACCCAAGCACCTACCCAGCAGAACACTCGGCGTGTCTACTTTGTAATTATTCCGATACAAGAAGCATCATTTTCCCCTATAAACCACATTTCAAAGGGCCATTGTGTTGTAAAGAAAATGAAAACAAACCCAGCCAACCTGGCTCTGATTTGGCTCAATACCCCATCTGCTAAGCTACATGAAAATTTCAGAATCGACTCCTTCTGGCAACAAGTGGTACAAGCTAGCTTAAGCCCACATCGCGTTTATTCACGCTGCTTAGGAAAGGAGGGCGTGGACTTACAATATATGTCTCTAGTTTCTGTTTTAGAAATGACAGCGCATTTCAGTTTTCCAGCCATCTTTTTCTTCTAAAGTTAATGCTAACAGGCATTGCTGGTAACGTCAAGCCTGGTGGCTCAGCATGGTCTTCTAATTTCCCAAGTTATGTATAAGTATTGCTAGCCAAAGAAATGAAAGACTCAGGCATAATTCCAGTGTCCATATTTCAAAAATTTATTTATCTCAAACTGTGCATAATGGAGTAAAAACTTAAGTTGAAAATGTAGCTGTTATAAGGATGGTGGTATTAGTTCAAATATATACATGGATTCTCGGCAGCCTGATTCCAATAACAGAGCCGAATCTTTTAAAATACAACTACGGAAAATAAAAGGGGAAAAAAACTTAAAATATCACAATAAATTTACAGAAATATTACAAACCATAAGAAAATATTCCAAACACAGTAATTCCATATTCTTTTATCTGAACAAAATGGAAAGGTGGGACTGAACAAAAGCTTTTATAAATTACCAACGATATCAACCTGCATGGACATTTTTTTTTTGCCTTTAACAGTAAGTTAAAAATTTAGTACAATCTAGAACATTTGCCCTTTTTAAACAAGACCAAGAAAATAGTCTTGCCAGTATTTGCTCTCAAGTTTTCCTTTTGTACAATTTTAAAACTAAAATGTTCAAATCCGAATAAATTTCTTTCTTCCTTGTTTGTAACGGTCCTAAATTTAAGCTGCAGAATCAAAACCCAGCAAGAACCCTTTCCTCGAAAAATATTGGCAAATTCTCAGCTTATAAACAATGGACATTTGATTGCCATGTTTATCTCGATAAATACTGTACAAAAGTTGCTTGCAAATATTAAAACTTTTTTTTCCGTCGCTCGGAGTCTAGCTCTAAATATTACTGGTAAAGACTTTTGCAAACTCCCTGCGAAGCGCCTAACATACCACTAGAACTTTTAAAAAAAAAAGTTTTGCGTAGTTTCTTTCTCCAGATCTATACATGGTCCGATTACCCCTCCCTCCCGGCCGCCCTCAGGTTTTCTCTGTACAAAAATAGTCCCCCAAAAAGAAGTCCCAAAATCTCTCATAAAAGTTTTCTAGTCGGCAACACGGTTTTTGCGTTAATTTGGATGGGATTGGTGGTCTTTTCCGCAGCTGTCATTTGACTGCGGGTAATGAGATTTTTTTTCTTTCTTTGAGCATGTCAGATTTTTCTTACTCTCCTCTTTTGCACCCCTCCCAATTCCCTTGTTTCTCTTTGAAAATCTCTCCCTTTCTCAGTTCGCGCTCCGGCCCTCACATGTGCGACAGGGGGAGTGTGCCGTTAATGGCCGTGCCGGGCACCGGGCCGCTCTGGTAGTGCTGGGCCATGTGCAGTCTACTGGGAGCAGCGGGCTCCGGCACCTCGGCGCCGGGGAGGTACATGCTGATCATGTCCCGGAGGTCCCCGGCCTGGCAGGGCGCCCTGGAGTGGGAGGAAGAGGTAACCACACCTGGGCTGGAGCTGGCCTCGGACTTGACCACCGAGCCCATGGAACCCAGCGCCATACCGGGGGTGCCCTGCTGCGAGTAGGACATGCTGTAGGTGGGCGAGCCGTTCATGTAGGTCTGAGAGCTGGTCATGGAGTTGTACTGCAGGGCGCTGACGTCGTAGCGGTGCATGGGCTGCATCTGCGCCGCGCCGTGCGCGTTGAGGCCCGGGTGTTGCGGGTAGCCCAGCTGCTCCTGCATCATGCTGTAGCTGCCATTGCTCCAGCCGTTCATGTGCGCGTAGCTGTCCATGCGCTGGTTCACACCAGCGCCCAGGCCGGCGCCCACCCCAACCCCGCTCGCCATGCTGTTCCCGCCCGGGGCCAGCAGCCCTCCGGGAAGCGTGTACTTATCCTTCTTCATGAGCGTCTTGGTTTTCCGCCGCGGCCGGTATTTATAATCCGGGTGCTCCTTCATGTGCAGAGCGCGCAGCCGCTTGGCCTCGTCGATGAACGGCCGCTTCTCGGTCTCCGACAAAAGTTTCCACTCGGCGCCAAGGCGCTTGCTGATCTCCGAGTTGTGCATCTTGGGGTTCTCCTGGGCCATCTTACGCCGCTGCCCCCGGGACCACACCATGAAGGCGTTCATGGGCCTCTTGA